TACACATCACAAAACTGAAAACCAGACGGCGAGGAAACTCATAGTTCACGAGAAATTTGTTTTTAAAATTGAAAATTTCACATAACAAAACGTACGTTAACAAACCATTTCAAACAAATACAAGTGTGCAGAAAACACACATTCCAACTAAATTAAGCTCTTTGAACGTTTATCTACTTTATATTTTATTAATTTCAATATTTAACGACCAGGAACACGTTTATAAATTTGTTTACTTTCCGTTAGAGAACCGAATTAGTATGGAAGTGTGTAAGTATGGACAATGGCCGAAATGAAGATGGCCGAATGGCGAATATAATAGCAATTATGAGTATTAGCGTAAGAATATTATGAAGGCGAATAGGAACAAGTAAAGAATACCCAAAATACAAATTTTGTTAGCGTGTTAGAGTGAACGGACGCTTAAAAATCTTTTGTATATTTGCCCGAATGTGCTTATGATCTTCAAGCGACACATACACATACACTTCCAGCAAAGCACTTCTTGGCTCTCGTGACTCAAACTTGTACAAGGAAGTATTTGGAAAAGTACATTTTTTACAGACCTTATTAACCGTTCCCATACTCCCCACATATTCGGAGCACTTGGTGGGTTGAATCTCCATTTTGTTTAATCAAATGAGGAAGCGAGATTAGGAAAATTTACGTTTTATAAACAAATAATTTTTTCGGAGGCTTTAAAATGAGGTCCGTCATCGGTGAAAATTTCTCTGGGATTTTCACGACGTGAAATAAAGTTTTTATTGCCATTATACAAGAACTTGTGTCCAAACCGTGGGCAATTTCTATATGTACTGCCCGAAGAGTTATACAAGTGAACAGTATTAGATATCGCCCACTTATTTGATTAATTATTGCCTCATTCATTAGTTGATGAAAGCGTTCGTGAAATTCTCTGACTATAAGACGCGTGATGTAGTCACATCTCGGCAATACAATGGCATCTTCGTGATTATTCCGACGATCAGCGCGGCTTTTACTTCTAATTATTATCGTCTGCGTCCAAATAAACATTGGCTGAGATAAGTTTGCTGGATTTCTCTATAGTTTTGCCGTCTTTAAGTAAAATTTTCTCTGAATTCTGGGCAAACCTGATTAAAAGTCTTTGGCCTTTTGAATCAGAACGAAATCAACAGTAGATTTAGGCTTTCCACCTACAACAACGTAGACGGTCGATGTATAGAAAAAACGTAGCAACTGCTCGGTAAAGTCGTTTCCAGTCAGAAAAGTACTCTATATTCATAGCCAGGAACTGATTGTAAGCTTTTACAGCATGTAAAACGTAATGTCTGACCTCTGAAGCATCAAAATCATCTGGTTTCGAGTCGTCAAACCGCGGCCAACCATCAGGGCTCAGTTGTAAAAATTCTGGACCTTCGTACCATGATTGATAGTTGTACTTCGCGGAGACCTTCGTGCGTAAGTCCGCAGGATTCATTTTGGACGGCACCCATTGCCATTGTTCTGCGTTTGATATCTCCAAAATTTCGCCAACTCGACCTATTGATGGAACTTTTTTGGGTCCATTCGGATCCATTGACGAATTGTCCTAGAGTCTGACCACCAATATCTCGACCTAATGCCAATGCGGTGTACGTAACCTCACACCAATTACTGCGGCCTGCAGTTCCACTCTAGGAATAGACAACGGTTTTAACGGCGCAACCTTGGACTTGGCAGCTACCAGGGTCACAGTGACATCTTTTCCTCGCTTTACTCGCAAGAAACAAACGGCTGCGTAAGCATTTTCTCCGGCATCAACAAACGTGTGAAGCTGAACGTCCTCCACACCTTTCAACAATACGGAGTAGCATTGAGGTACTTCGACCGCTGTTATCAATCGCATTACACTTTTCCATTGAAACCATTTATCATAGAGGTCATCATTCAGCGGCTGATCTCAAGTGATGCCTGAGCGCCATACATGCTGCAATAAGATTTTTAGTCCTATGGTGTAGCAACTTACAAATGCCAATGGATCGAAGATGGACATCAGAACTTGAAGCACTTCTCTCTTTGTTGGTTCGAGTGGTTGATTGATAACGTCGCGACGCAGCCTTGAAAATCTACAAATATACTTGAAACTATCCCCGATGGTATCCCAGAACATTCCGAGCACTTTCGTAGTGGATCCCCATTCTTTGCCGGTTTGGATAACGCTGCTGCTTCGTTCAAGTTGTTTTAAGACCTTCATTGAATTGGACGACGAGCCTCTTATGTTGAATCCGGCACAGCGCATCAGCGCAGATTGCTCATCATCTTCACTGTCGATGTAATCATCTACATAGTGGCTGTTCTTCACTGCGTCTACAGCACGAGGAAATTCGTCTTTAAATTCACCTGCGTTCTTATCGCGGATGTAATGTGCGATGCATGGAGCGGAGTTAAGTCCAAACGTTATTGCTCGCATAACATAAACGCTGGGACTATCTTGCTTATCGCCTTCGTCATACCATAGAAATCGTTGGGAATGCATATCACTTTCGCGGATGTTTATTCGGTGAAGCATCTCCGAAATGTCCGCACATATCGCAACCCTGCCCACTGAACGATAACAAAATTTCAACCAGGGGATTGAGAAAGTCTGGGCCGCGTAACAGAAAATCGTTAAGCGAAAAGCCCTTGACCTTCGCAGCTGCGTCCCACACTATACGAATTTTGCCCGGCTGGTTTGGGTTGGTTACAATAAATATTGGTAGATACCAAATCTTCTCTCTAGGAACCGCAATCTTTTCTGCTGTAAGTTTCTTGGCATACCCTTTGGCAAGCAAGTTGTCGATCTGACCCTGAATGATAGACTTTAATGCAGGCTCCTTAACGAACTTCCTTTTTAAGCACATAAGCCGCTGATGCGCATTAGTATAGCTATCTGGTAGCGAAATATTATAGTCACGCCACGTTAGGCCGATTTGAAAGCGATCACCTTTTGACATGTGTTATTCATGATAGTCACGGCTTTTGCATCGTCTTCTGACGTTAATTGTTGTGGATTGGGCTATTCCAATTTAAAGAAATTTGTTACCATTTCGTGCAGCTTGGTGTAATCTTCTCTACAGTCGCAAGTGTGAATATTCAGTTGACATTCCGCAGCACGTTGAACATCGCAGCCCTGCAGTGTCCATCCAAGCCGAGTTTTCGAGGCTACTGGCTGGGACCATGTTCCCTCCCGCATTTTAAGAGGAACTGCCAACCTCCAATTAACAAAGATGGTTTGACGTTGTCATATGATGAGATCGGTAGCCCAGCAAGATGTGGGTAAATTTTCTGCATCTCTTGTGCGTGAACTGACTGTGCTGGTAAATCAAGGTCTTCGACGGCATGAATGTTCTTCAATCACTGGTGGTACTTGAAATCTCGATATCAGCACTTATTGAGTTTTTCTCTACATGAGTTGTATTCCCCGTCCATCGTAAACATAGCGGATCTTCTTGGCCATCCAAACCGAGCTCGTTGAATACTCTTTTTTCTATCAAGAACCTTCGTCTAGAAACGCAAATATGTTTATTACTTTATTTTTGGAGTACACGCGAATTGGCGCGATTCTAAAAAGAGGTTGTGATTTTCCATACCTATTACTGTGCGCGTTTACCTGTGCCGAGGGCTCAATTGCATTCGTACTTACTGGGTCAACATGACTTGTCGCAGTGCTCGACCTGTGAAGCAAGGGATGATGTTTAGCAGTACATCCATCTTTATTGCAGATTCTATTCAAAAAA